TGTCTAAACATTTTTATTCCTGTAAGAACTGCGAAATTATCTTGTAGGTCAAATAATCTCGGGTATGTACATCTTTAACTGTAAATGAGTTTGGGCCCTAACCATTAACCTCAAGATAGCAATCCTTAATATGGAGCACTTAGGATCAAAAGGGTATCAGGGCACGTTTTGCCGATATGAGGTAAAAACACCAATAAACAGAGTTTTTAAGACGCATCCACGGAAAAAAAAGAAATCTCTAAAAATCAAACATTCTACGCGTCAAGGGGGAATTTTCTAGCCCGCCCCCCAACGAATAATTGTAAATTTTAAAAATAAAAAAAAATGGCGCGGACGAAAATTTGAAAAAAAAATTTTTTTTTCAAAGGACCTTTGTGAGACTTTCATAACTTACCTCCTTTTAGATTAACTGAGTCTTTGGACAAATCCTCTAAAGTTAAGACACCATTATAGTCTTAGGGCCAAAAGAACACAAATCCGTCTGGGATTTTGCTCAAATAATTGGACTGCATTTTGCAATTTGGAACGATTAATTCTGGCCCGGTTTAAAAACAACGTATGTGCCATTAGTTTCCTTATGCACATACGTGTTTTTTTCAGATGAACCAGAATTTATAGGTCCAAATTGCAAAATGCAGTCCAATTCATCTCGTTAAAAAAAGCTACATTTTACTGCGGCTCTTCAAACGCTGGGAGTAGTGACTTTTTGCCTTTCAGCCTACATACAACATATCGACGGTGTAAGTCTGCAACCACGTATCGCGTTTGCGGTGTTGGAAAATCTTCGCTTCTATTTTATTTTGTTGAAGGAGGACAAATAGACATCATTCCTTGAAGTTTTCGCAGAATTTTCTTGGCACTGAGAAGAAAAATCACGGTAGTCTTTATGAATTGCCGTTGAAAAAGTTTTTCCTTTAAAAAATGAAGTATGACTAAAAGTCTACGACGTCGCAAACCGAGATACGTGGTTGCGGACTTACACCATCTATATTATTATTCAAAGACTACCAAAGACTTCAAATTCACACGAGAAAAAGTGTAAAGTGTTATCCCCTAAAATTTTATGGCAACACCCCAATTTGTTGGATGATAAGGACACTTCCAATTAATGTTGGTCTCACCGCAACATTTGGATCAGCAACCTAATTTATTGAGGCACTACTTACCATAATCAATTGGAAATGTTCAAGTTGCGACTTAACCCCTACCTCATTTTCCGTTTACCAACTTTCTATTTGAGTCAAATGAAAATAACTGAAGAGAGTTTAGCAGCGCTCCCATTTCCCGGAACTAGTACCGAATTTTGGAACTTTTGAGATTTTCCTAAATTTTTTCCGGAACTTTTGAGATTACCGAAATGTTCCGGATCTTTTGCATTTTCGGGAACTTTTGAAAAATTCTAAAAAGAGTCCCGGTCTTTTGACGGTCATTTGGACGTATTTCTATCAAACGGAACCAAGCGCCATAGGGGGAAGAGGGTAGAGGGGGGCTTGGATTGGCGGCGGAACCGGGTGTCGGGCTCATTCCGTCCTATACTCGCAATGCTTTTCCATGGCGCTTAGGTCCGTTGGACAGAACGCGCTATCCGGCATTCTAAATTCCTCAAAAGGAACTCAAATTGGCGCCTAGTTCCGTTTGACAGAAATACGTCCATTTAGCGGAAGAAATTGGAAGAAAAAAGTGCCGAATCCCGGAACTTTTGACGATCATGCATGGGAGCACTGGAGTTTAGAAGAGAGCATGGATTCAGTTGTCGCAGTCGACCTGCCTGTGGCTGGGCGAGAGGGTGGTGCCCCAGATCTTGTAGCAGCGGTTGACGGGTCCCGGGAAGGTCTCCTGGAAGACGTCCGAGGTGGAGGCGATGAACCAGTAGAGCTCCACCTTGAGGAACACGTTCGTCGCCTTCTCCGGGATCTTGATCGTCTTCGAGACGCCCAGCGTGAACTGCCCCGACTCGTTGGTGATCTTCTCGCCGTCCAGCTTGTACTCCACCGTGAACTTGGCCACGTAGCCGCCCCCGTTGTCCACCCGGATGAACCCGGGCTCCGCCGACGCGAACTCCCCCAAGAGGCACAGCGCCACCGTCACCATCCCCCATTTCATCATTGCTCAGCCTTCGAGAATCGCTCGACAACGATCAAAACTCACCGCGATTATAGTTCACAGAACGGCCCGAACTTGTGGGAATTACAGTCAAAACGGTCAAATGTTACCGTATTAACTGTCAGAACAGCTGTTCCGTCCTCTTGAAGCACCACTGTCTAACGCCACCGCAATAATCAACGGAGGGATCCGAAATTATTGCACTGACAATCGAAACTGTCAAATGTTACCGCAATAACTGTCAAAACGGCGGTTCCGTCCTTTTGAAGCACCACTGTCTAACGCCACCGCAATAATCAACGGAATGATCCGAAATTATTGCACTGACAATCGAAACTGTCAAATGTTACCGCAATAACTGTCAAAACGGCGGTTCCGTCCTTTTGAAGCACCACTGTCTAACGCCACCGCAATAATCAACGGAATGATCCGAACTTATGGCACTGACAATCGAAACGGTACAACGCCACCGCAATAACGGTCAAATATCACGGTGAATGTTGCACAAATGAAGGTATAGGATGCTCGCGTTTTCAAAAACGAGTCAAGGGAAGAGCCCGCGGATTTCCGGAGCTTCTGGTGATCGCTCTCGGTGCGAAATACGTGTGACTTAAGCACTGCATCGATTGCGGATTTATAATATGGAGTTTTTGCTGCCGTGTTACAGAGGGGACATTCAGAGGTGAGCCGCGGCTAGCGTGTGCTCTCATGCATTTTGAGGCTCATGCTGGAATGGCGTTACTGCTTTCTTCCGTAACATGGCGGTTACGGTGGGTTTTCCTCCGTGCACTTTGACGGGCGGTTGACTGGGCAACTTTGGGGGATTACGCTGACCAGATAGGTCGGGATCCCTTGGCCTACGAATTAGATAATTTTGTGGGATTAAACGTGTTTTCCTATGCTACATTGCCGGAGTGTGTAAAATTATTGGTCTGTACTATTTAGCTAAACCCTCTCATAGGATTGAAGTGTGAAAGCCCCCCCCCCCCCCCCNAAAGGAAATCATCAACTTTGAAAAACTCGTTTTCCAAAACACCCTTAAACAAATTGCTGAAATTCATGATTTCGGTAATGCTTTTCGGGTATGTTTTTAAGTAAAACGTGCGAGAAGCAAAACACAGTTTAAAAAAAAGTTAAAACGTTGAAAGATCTACCGTATTTTTTAACTTTTAAAATATTTGAACGAAATGTTAAAAAATAATTCTTTTAAAAATGATTGTCCTTTTTTCAAGATTGGTTTTTGTAAATTGTACCAAACATAAATGTTACCTACCTACTCTAAAAAGTATTAATTTAGGGCTCATTATTCAGATTCCAATGGTGTGCGGTGGATTTGAGAATAGAGTAAGTTGTAAAAACCGGTACTCCTCTACCGGAGGGTTTTACTTGAAATGGAATTTTCTATACATTCATAAATATTTCTGATTTTTTATAGGCCCAAGTCTAGGAAACAGTTAATTCTGTGTCAATAGGGCACCTATGGAGCCATTCCGTGGTAGGTAGGGGAGAAGTAATTATAAGATTACAAGGTCAATGGTTCAAACGTGTCTATGTCAGCTACAGTCATAAGTCTTGTAAATCAATTAATAGGAACTCCTTTTAATATCCCCTCGTAAAAAGTAGACAAGGAAAATATTGATATTGATATTCCCATGGTCTTCCAAACGTCGCTTTGACCGAGAGATTATGACCGACTAGGGGATTTTGCCGATTGCAAAATGTTTAGCGATGCATTTTACAATATGCCATGCCTTAGTTAAATGTTAGTAGTGTAAATTTTGGACATCGCTACTGCTGGCTCGATTTGATCTATACTTCATAAAATCTATTTAATGTTTTCGTGCAGTAGTTTAATACGAGACATATATTTAATGGGTAGAATGTGTTTTTGCCTAATCTTTCATCTCTGTTGCTCACTGGAAAGTGGAAAGCAGCACGTTTTACGCCACATCCTACGGGTTGAAGTAGTCTAGCAATTCAAAATGAAGGCGCCTAACAATCTGTTGCTCATTTAAAACCACGTTCTAGGTCACGGATTTCACCTTCATTTTAATGAGCATGCATGAAGCTATCCCAGGCGTCAAAACAGTCGTCTAACCGTTCAAAATGAAGGCGCACCATGCTCTGTTGCTCTCTTGCAACCACTACGTCACGAACCACTGTTTTGTTGTTTTAACGAGAGAAAATACTCCTGGTTTAATCGGATTTTTTTTTCGAGTCGAAAGGAAATCCGCTTGAGTTAAGAGGCTTAGCTCTCGATTCAAGCAAAACTCCGACTAAATTAAGAGTATTTTCTCTCGTCAGATTTTTTAAGAGTCTTCACTGAAAAAAAAAATTCTCGGCGTTTTTACCAAGGTCCGTTGGCACCTTTACCATCTCACTTTTTTTTTACCAATTATTGGTAATTTTACCAAGACAGCCTGGTAAGCTTACCTAAAAACCGGTATTTTTGTGTTTTTTCAGGTAAGATTACCACTTTATTTGTATTCAATTCCCGGTAACTTTGCCATTTTATCTCGGTAATTCTACCGCAGTCGATAAAAAATATTGGCGTTTTTACCAAGGTCCAGTACAATTACCGAGAAAGTTCAATAATTTTACCACGATTTCTCGGTAAAATTACCAATTCCATAAATGGTAATTTTACCAAGAAAAAACTGGGATCAAATAGAACCCTGAATTCTTGGTAATTTTACCCTTTTCTTAGTAAATACACCGAGATTTTTTTTTTCAGTGAAGAGGCTTAGCTCTCGATTCAAGCAAAACTCCGACTAAATTAAGAGTATTTTTCCTCGTCAGATTTTTTAAGAGTCTTGACTAGAGATCCGAGTTACTTTTTTTTCTAGTGCACCATTTTTATCAGAGATGTAATGAAGTTGATGTTTTGGATGTTGCAGCTTCACCAGCGATGCAGCACTTGGTAACGTACGTGATTTACATCGGGAAGTTCTGCGTCTCAGGGTCGTTCGCCATCATCTACAACTACAGCGCCGAGTTATTCCCGACCGTCCTCCGGAACACCGGGATCGGGGTAGGCAGCATGTGCGCCCGTTTCGCCGCCGCCACAACCCCTCTCATCTCCCTCCTCGTAAGTCATTTTTTATCGACCTTTTTTCAGTGGGCTGATTAATGAAATTGATAGACAAAGCAACCCTATGTCGTGTATTTATCTTGAAGCACTGATTTTTTCTTCTCGATTCATTGCGTCGCTTCAATCACTGATCCATTCACTTGGAAACTGTCACTGACAACGAGATGTTTCACTATTTCTTTTCAATGAATGTTCGAATGATGTTTGTTTTAATGTACGGTAACTACGCCTAATCTCTTCATCCATTGGCACGTAACTTCGGGGTGTCTGTTGAGTTGCAACGATGGCGATACTTCGTTTCTCTCACGAGAGGACGTAACGACATTTCGATATTGCCAGATTTTTCCGGGGAAATTGCATTTTTACCAGGGGAGTTTTGAGAATTTTGAATTGAAAATTTCACTCATTTTTTATCTGATCTTTCATGTTGGAAAATTGCAAAATTACCGTGGTAAAAATTGGCGATAGGAACTGCGTTTCAAAATACCATTGGAGTTCTTATAGCCGACTGAAGAAGGCGATAGAAAATCATATAGCTTGCTGTGGAAAGTGGAAAAAATCATACAGCCGGGCTATACGAAGCTATAAAAATAAGTTCTCAGTCGGGCTATAGTTCCTATCGCCGGGCTTTACACTTTAGCGTCATCGGCTGTAAAAGGCTATAAAAAATTGTGTAGAAATTCGTGTGTTTTGGAAATCATTAAGTTTGGTACGGAACTACCTTTATATTTACAAAACACACATTATATTTTCCTTTAAAACATATTTTTTTTTTCATCAATTAAAATGAGAATAATCCATACAGAGTGTGCAAACATTTCAAAATCATGAGTTGAAAAACGCTGACTCCGCGAGATTAAATATTAGAGCATAACACAAAGCGGAGCGGCGACGCACTGGCGCCTACAAACCTAACAGGGATACTTCACGCATTGCGCAATGCGTGAAGTATCCCTGTTAGGTTTGTAGGCGCCAATGCGCATTTCGCGCTCTTTGCCCGCCCGCCGCGCCGCAGCGTGCCACGGCGTCTGAAGCAAATATTTCACACCAGAGGTATTGCACAGTATCATGAGAAATTGAAAGCTCTCCAACATACTAAGAATGTCAGGCATCCTTCAAAAGTACGCAGCTTTCCTCGCAAAATAAATCAAGCTACTACGGCACAAAAAGAGAGCGGTAGTCCAAAAACTAACTAAGTCGTACTATCCGTATTTAGTAACGTTTAGCATAAACTTTATCGTCTGGCTGTTGCTTAATCGCCATCGGCTATGAAAGGCTATAAGAGATTGTACAGCCGGCTTTAGGTCTATAGTATTTTGGAACACACATTCTACAGCCAATTTTTACCAGGGAATAGACAAAGGAGACATATGGAGTATAGAGGTATCATATTGGTTGTAATGGGTGGTTCCTATAGACGAAGGGAAAAAAAGATGAACTAACTATCGGGTCCCTCGCGGGTTGCCGTTACTTAGTCTATTAGGTACATACCTCGTTTGTCCATTGCAACCACCCGCTTCCCCCAATAGGATCCTTCCATATCTCTTTTGTCTTCTTTGTCTACAGCTTTGTCTATCAATTTCAATAATCGGCCCGCTGCTGGGTGTCAAAATAATTTTTTCTTTAAATTTCCACCATTCTGGTAACATAATGGACCATCAGAGAAGGTACGAAGTTGAGCATTCTGATGCATGCTTCTTAGCAAAAATTTTATTCGGGGTTTTATTCGCTTTGTTGATAATTGTCGAATTCCAAAAAATGTACGTTCTTTTTGAAGAATATTTTGAAATGAGACATGATTGATCATACCAGAGAAAACAAAGAAAAAACAACACCTCTACTTCTAAAATAGAAATTGGCGCTTACGTGATTTGGAAAAAAAACTGTTCACACGAAGAAAAGTGGATTGCTGATTTAAGAATTAAATGGTTTAAACATATGTCCGACGTGTTTCAAACGTACCTGTTACAAAAGTGGAAAGTACGGGGATGGTTAAATTGGAATTTCTATATTGTGAAATCTACATTGAAACATGTCGAACACTTTTTAACTACAAAATTGTTAAATCATAGCAATAACATTTTTTTCCGTGTAATTGAGGTGCCGCTTACGAGGGAAAAGTTAAAAAACAAGGCCCGATTACGTCTCTCCCATCTTTGGCTGCGTCTCTCACGTAGCCTTTGAAGCATAACCACAATTAAAACAAACGGAACTAACACAACCTAGAAATAGAGCATAGAGTACATAAGGGAAAGGACGAGGACGCGCGTTGCTGACGGCGCAAAGATACAACTATTCGTGCTTGATGGATGTCCGTGTTGCGTCTGTAAAATTGAAGGCGCCATGGCGCGAATTCGCGATGCTGCCAACGAGGCTTCGCTCACAATCAGATTTGGGAAAAAGGTTAAGAAACGAGGCCGGAAACGTCTCTACAATCTTCGGCAGTGTTCCAACACTTCCAAAACTCGATTTTTTTCTTTTTTCCATTTGATATCCGATTCTTTCTCAAGATGTATTTGTACACCGAAAAAAAAGTGAAGTTGATTTAACAGGTATCTGTTTATTTAGCCATGTGGCGAACTGCAACAAAATTTGTTGCAAATTGCCACTAACTCTAGGTGCTGTGTGGCTAAATGAAACAAGAAAAATTGGCGTGACAAAATGCATCAAAAATTGTTGCAGTTAGCCACAGTCTTCGGAATGGCCTACCATATTCAGCGAAAAAAATTGTTATTTATCCTCCCATTTTTATTTTACAGCAGCGTGATTTTATTGAAGATCTGGAATGGATTCCTTCTGCGGGCCAATTTTTGAAATTTATAGACAAAGCTATAGACAAAGAAGAAATATAGGGAGTACATATTACTTACCTGATTTGTCCATTGCAACTGCCCGTTTCAACCAATGGAATTGTTTTATACTCCCTATGTCTTCACTGGGGAAAAAAAAGTCGCTTGGATCTGGAGTCCGGACTCTTGAAAACAATGCATGACAAGAAAAAATACTCTGGATTCAATCGGGTTTTTGCTTGAATCTAAAGGAAACCGGCTTAAATTAAGAGGCATAGTTCTTGATGTAAGCAAAAATCCGATTGAATCAAGAGTATTTGGATTACATTTTGCAATAAGGAACCACTATTTCTCGCACATTTTAGAAACAACATACATGCCATTGGTTTCCCTATGCAGATATGTGCTTTTATGGGAGAGCCACAGATAGTGGTTCCTTTTTGCAAAATGTAATCCATTTTTTCTTATCATTGTTTTTAAGAGTCTGGACTCTAAATCCAAGCGACTTTTTTTCCCAGTGTCTAGGTACAGCTTTGTCTATTAATTTCAATAATTGGCCCGGAGTTTGCCATGGAGGAGTCGGTTGATGATTCTAGGACATGATTCTATAGGGATGATTTCTTATTTTCAGGACTCGTTCGACGAGCGGATCCCGATGTTCCTGTTCTCGATCATCGTGCTGGTGAGCGGGGTGCTGTCGATGCTCCTGCCGGAGACGGTGAACCAGCCGATGCCCAACTCGGTGGAGGACGGCGAGAACTTCCGGGTCGGCGACACCTGCTGCACCACCGGCTGCTTCCCCATCGGCCCGCAGGCCCGCCCCCGCCCCCGAGGCCTCTCCCGACACCGACGCGGCTCCAACGACTCCGTCTCCTCCATCCAGCTCACCGAGACCCACTCCCTCCAGCACAAGGAGAAGACCTGATCACCCCCTCCACAGAGAAAAGAGCAGAGCTCATAGGGCCTGATTTACATTTTTAGCGCCCTACATGGGCGTAGCTAGGGGGGTACTGGGGGGGCTGCCCCCCCCCCCAGAAATCTTGTGGCCCCCTCAGAAAAGCGGGATCCTCTATTCCTCATCCCCTTCCCCCGCTCTCTTCACCAAGAGGGGTGGTCCTATGGCCCTCCCCAGAGAAATTTCCTAGCTACGCCCCTGGCGCCCTAGGCCAAACTTAGGGGTGGCGCCTGTAAAAGTAGGCGCTCTCGTGGGGGGGGGGGTCCCAGACGCCCTTCTCCTCCAGATCAGAAGGAGGATGTTAGGTGTCCGGAAAATGTTCAAATTCATCTTTAAAAAAAACACCTTTGTCAGCCATAACGTAGACGTTTTTTAATAAGTCACGGTTTTTAATAAATTCGCAAAAATTTTGCGCCCCTCAAAATGTTGCGCCCTAGGCTATAGCCTATGTGGCCTATTGGTAAATCCGGCCCTGACAGAGCTCCCATTTCCCGCGACTTTTGAGGTTTTTCTGAATTTTTCCCCGGAACTTTCAAAGTTCCTGAAATGTTCCAGAACTTCTAAAATTCCCAAAATGTTCTGAAACTTTTGAGTTTTCCGGAACTTTCTCGGAACCTTTGAAAAAATCCTCGAAGAATTCCGGAACTTTTGACGGTCATGGGGTGGGAGAAATTGGAATAAAATAGTTCCGAGTCCCGGAACTTTTGACGGACATGGAATGGGAGCACTGGAAAAGAGAGAAGTTCATTTCCCACTCACGTTGCTGGATACACACGAAAATCAGCTAGCGTCTTGCGCCCTATCAGTGGGATCATTTGGGGTAAGGGGGGGGGGTAAATGCCCCTCCCCACCTAAGGTTTCGTGGACCTATTGAAAATGACCGAAAACTCCCAGCCGCTACGCGATCTAACCTCCGGAGAACGCTTCAAGCCCCCAAAAGGATCGCTTTTGCATGGGATCATATTTTACAAATTTCAAGAGAGGGGGCTTATTCTGAGGTTATTTCCTACCGATAGCCATAAAAATTATGGAAGGCGGCCTGATTGATCTCTGGAACAAACTATGAGGACAAATGAAAATTCGGCGGGTCAGAGAGCTCATATACATCATATGGACCGCGTTAAACAGAAAGGCGAACCAAGCCACATCAGCTATTGCCAAATTGAATTCGGCAATTTAATTTTTTACATGAAAACGGTTCCGCGGATTTTCGTGAAAATTGCAGTGAAAATTCTCCATAGTTTGAAGCAAATGCCTTAAAAATTTCAAAGGAATCCGCATAAACGTTCTCTCGTAAAAAATTGTATTGCCCAGTTAAATTTGGCAATAGCTGATGTGACTTTGTTCCTTTCTGTTAAACTCGGTCCAATATGATATGAATTTATTTTTTCATCATCGGCCGTGTGGCGTAGATAGTTAGAGTTGAATACTACTAATGCTACTGCTACTATTTATTTATTTACCTATTTATTTTTGAAAGGGTATGCATCACCTGCACTCAACAACACCAAACAACGTATTTTTTTTCTTTCTGTTAATGATCGATTCTCCCTTTCCTCTCCCTCTCCTATAAAAAGTGAGTGATGAATATGAATAAAATGGTGTCGCTAAAGAGCATTGGTAGAATATTAATTATTAATCGGGTGTGGTGATTATTATTAGTCAGAAGAATATCACACCTGATAACTTGGGTAACACTAGCTGATTGGTTCCATTTTATTCCTAACTTAAACGACCGAATAATTGTATGTAAGTACTTAAATGAACTTTCGATCCTTCTAGATGGCTGTGTTACAAAAAACTTTGATAAAAACTTATATTGTCTTCCTAGTGCAAATTGTGATTGATGGACCAGCCTCCTTGTGGGAGGTCTATTCTAAAATCACAGTTGTTCATTGTACTGATAAGTGCAAAGTATGTACTGATACTTGTACTGTAAAAATCGAAATTCAAGGAGAGTAACCACTGTACAGTTTCATACATTTTCCCAAGCTGCTTCACCTACTCTACAAGGTGCCACAGATTTCATTTTTGAAAATGTTATCAAATTTTCCAATTGTTTTTATTACTTTATGTGTGAGTACTTGAGAAGAAGAAAAGAGCCTAGCCGCCACTTGAAAACGAGTATTCAGGAAATAATCCAATTGCGTTTATTGGATTGCAACCATTTGAATATTTTGGACTGTGGCTTATCAGCCATGCACTTCCACGTACGTCTCGATGATTTAAATTTATGATTGTTACCACAAATAAATTTGCAAATTTTTGAGGACATTTTCCCACGAGTCAATTCGACTTAAGTAGTCTAGGAATAATTGTATTGCTCATCTTGACATTTCTTTCTAATAGGGACCTGTGTGTTTTCTTTAGAAAAAAACATTTGTCACTTTGGGCAAGTCAGCACCAGCTCTTCCAACTTTGCCATGGATTATGTACCTGGATTTCTTGGTTCATAAGTGACCAACTTCAAGCTATGTGAAATCTCAAAAAGTCAATCAACATTGTTGCACTTCGTAATTTTTACCACTGTTTAATTCATCTGTATGAATTAAATGAGACAAGGTTAGCCTTGAGAAATCTGAGTCTTCATGCCTTTAAATTTTGAGAACTGAAAACATTATTGTACTTAAAATTTCAGTGTGGTGACACAATGCCTTGACATTATTCCCCCATCACTTTGCCTTTTCTTTGTGCCTGCTAATATTTAGCATTGTTGTTTTTGTTGTTGATCATTATTTAGTATAATTAGTTTTGTACCGCCTGTGTGTGTGAGCCGCAGGAGGGTTTTTGTACTGTTATTTTATACATACTGTTCTATTATGAATAAAAATAAAACTTAAAAAAAAAAAAACTAAATTTAATTGCATTGGTTCCACTCTTTGATCTGTTAACATGTATCTTTACATTCTTATATGAATATCTAGCGACCAGAGCAATGCACTGATTTTTTTTAAAAAAATGTACGTACAAAATACAGAAAAAAAAACTATAATACCTAAGATATTGGGATTTCATTTACACTTGAAATTATTGAAGTGATGAAATCTTGCAGAGGAACTTGGATTTTTGTTATTATTTTTCTGTGGATAAAAGCAAAAAAGACAGAATTATCGAAATGCTCAACATATAGCTTTTAATTTATATTTACATGAAAAACTTAACAAATACGTACAAAGGGCTCAAATTACAGTCAATGAGATTATAAATAACACAAGGGAACGGAAATCGTTTGAAGCTAGATGAATCAGGCATGAATACAGGGATCAACTCAATTCAGAAATTAAGGATGACAATGATTGAAATTGTACACTTTACACCTACGAACACGAATTTACAGAAGATAGCACAAAAAAAGGGGCAGCACTGAGCCAGTGTCATGATTTACGATGATTTGAAACAGGAGGTAACTAAAACATGCACACAAAGAATTAGGTTGAGCTGAATTTTAGGATCATTTCTTCCCAACCTATTGACACTTTCAACGCTATCTTAACTGAATTAAAATACAAACATTTCATTCAAAACCACCTGATAATCTACAAAACTGAAACTTTTGGCCCGGTCTCAGCTTCAAAAATGAAGACTTTCATTCAAAATAATTGATTAGTAACAATACAATTTTGAAGACACTCAGCATACAATTGTTATAGAAAAGTCGTTTTTATTCATCAGAGCTCAGTAACATGCAAGGTTTGAAGGAAGTGAGCGTTGCAAAATTTACAAAAAATCCACATCACATTAAAAAGCTGAGAGCAAAGTAAAGACCACTTAAAGGAATTCGTAGTCTTGTGCTGCTGATGTAACTGGAAAAACAATATTACCAACAAAACAAGAGAAAATAACAAAAGCACAGTTGAGGGTGATAACAAAAATTTGCACAGGGTTAAGAACAAAAGAGAGAAATTTGATTCCAGCGAAGCACAAATTGGAGTTATAAAAGGTGAAACTGCACAAATCGATCAACTTTAATTAGAAAAATAAGGTCTAATTTATCCTGAGCTCCTGAGGGACTTACTAAAAATTGAAACAAAGATTGATGATTCCTGTCAAATATTGAGATTCCTGTCAGTTAGACATTCAAAACATCTTAAATGCCGCCAAGTGGGTCTAGAATGGTGCATGTTGTTTTTCACCATAGGGAAAATCCCTATCACTTCATAGAATTTACGTGGGGAAATTCTCTCTAATTTTAGTTTCGATTTCGGGAAATAAATTGTTACTTGATGGCTACTCAATTGGTGGTAAATGAGAAAGACTAAAAGAGGATTATCTTGGCATCACTGAACGGCATGTGACACAGAAATTTTGAATGCCCTCCTGTCAGGTTACTCTCTGATTAAAAATTAAATTCTCCTTTCAATGAGAATTTTAAGTTATCAATATAGTAGTTGATAAACAACGATAAAAAAATTTATTTGGGTGCTTTCATATTTTTTCATCAAGAAAAATACACTATCGTAATAATTTCTGTCCTAGTTATAAAACTGTTATTACAAACCTTAAAAATTGTATAACTTTTTTAAAAAAAAAAAAAAAAAAAAATAATTAGAAACCGAGTTTCATTACATCAGAAAAATGTGGTGAAAGGAACGAGCTCTTATTTCTAAAAAAATAAGCCAAATGAAGCGATGATGAGAATACTTTGGAGAAAGGCAAAACCTTTGGTCTTCAACTTTTGATAATCGACTCTCAAATGAAACCCTCGTAGAAAGAGAGAAACCTAAATCATTATGTTACCTGAGCCTTATGTGTTTCTAATGAAATCGAAAAGTTGTCTACTAGAGCTCATTTAGAATATTCGAAGAGGAGCCCGTTTGATATGCCTCTTGTGTTTAGAGATAGCCTACAACATATAAGAAATTCCTCATTTTCAAAAATGCTAAGCAAGTCTTCCAAAAAATGTATACTATGGCCACAGGGTTGCCACAGAATTTGGAAAATTAAATTCTCTGACATTTCCCTGATTTTGCTGAAACATTTTGGTGAAATTCTCTGACAATTGAACAAATGTCAGAGTGTTAAAAAGACATGGTTAAAAACGGTTATCGGGAAAAATTTATTGTTGGAAACGTCAAATCCACCCGAGGAAGCAAATAAAGGTGACTGGACAATTTTTCCCTGAGATTTGCGCCACTTTCCCTGACATTTCCCACTTTCCCCTGTGTTCCCTGACTGTGGCAACCCTGTGGATTAAGCATCATTCTGCTCTTGGTGAACTATTTGTTGTTATTTGTGGGTTAAAAACAGTGAACAAAAGATTTGCTGAGGAGTTTTTTTCAATAATTTGTTTTAAACCTCAAGTTTCGTTGAAAAATATTGTGAAAATTTATAACTGCACTATCCAAAATATTCACATAGTATCTTTTTGCTCCTACATTACAAAAAGCTCCTAAAATTTAAGCAGGGAGAGCAGAAAAAAAGAAGAAAAAATTTAAGACTCAGAGAGGTCAAAGCACGGAAAACCAAGAATTTGACTCCAGCTTTTTGTCACTATCTGATATGATACTCTTGATGAGTTCCTGAGCACGATGATCTTGTAAAATTTAACTTTTTATATGTCGAGAAAAACTGGGATGAAAAAAGATTTTCCAGCATTTAAACACAAACTATGTAGCAGAAGTTTTAATAGTTGGAGAAAGCACATCTTTCTCACAGGAGTTTATAAAGGACACCAGTTAAAAAAATAATGCACGTCAGCCGGCGCCTAATACAATGAATTTCTGTGAGGGGGCCTTTTTGACAATCTAGAGTAATACATGAATTTTAAAAACTTGGTTTCTTTTCCAATGTTAGCCAGCTTCAGCTTGCAATCGCCTGTAACAAGTTAAAGAGCCCCTTTAATTTATGACATTTGTAAGTTGTAATTAAATGGCCAAAAACACAGTTCGAGATCACCTTTGATTTAAACTGCAAAAAATCTCATGCTCTTAGGTTTGTTTCTTCATTTTTCCTTTGAAGATGCACGAAAGACTTGAAATAAATTAAAAACAATTAATCTGAGCATGTTTGGTAAAGGATCACAGGAACATGAGCGTAACACATTAATGTTGGGTACGTTGGCCTGAACACAAGAATCGAACATTGACGAGAAGTTGCGTTATTGACAGTTGCAACTAAAGTAATCTCCAGCAAACACAGGAATTGGGACAGCTCGTCTTACAAGCACACGAAAGTAAACCTAGGATAAATACATTGCAGAAAATTCAAAGGTAAACTTCTTAAGAAAAGGCTCATAGAATCATCCAATTTGAAAATATGCCATCTCATTTTATTTAAAACTCTACACTTGGCCTCTTTGTAACAGGCCCATTTATTAAGATAACCATTCCCGAACATCAAAGTAATTTCAGGCTAAAAATGTCTTTCTACAGAAGTAAGAGATGATAAATAATATTCCTTGAATAGGATCACTCAGAAAGCAATTCTTAGAAAAAAAGATGATGTTTTTCAAATTACACGATTCAATCCATTTCCATCCAACTTCATAAAATTAAAGTTTGAGACTGTGGGGTACGGGACAAATTAATGCACTACTTACACTTTGATAAAAAATAAGAGAATTTCTTGTTTGCCTTTGAAACTAAGCTACCCTATTTGTAACTGTCAACTTGGAAATGATTCAATGAGGAAAAAATAACCTTCAGTTTGAGGTGATATCTCTCGGACAAATAGCTTGCAATCATATCGGAAACAAGTAACTGATGGATTCCATAACTACAAACTCTTAAGGTTTTGGTTCACAAAGCAGCCAAAAGGAGTTTTCATGAGCAATTCTCATTTTCAAACAGGTAACTTCTGGGAGGCATTGTTCCATTCCTCTATACTACAAGGGTAATGCAAGCCGATGTGTGTACTTGACTATTGTACAAAAAAACCTAAGATGAAGTTCTTTCCTTCTTGATGTTTTACTTTAAATAGTACTTGATAATCTGATCCTTTTAAAAATAGGGGTTCTCTTTTGTAATAAAAAATATAGCAGGTACACTGTAAAGTCAAAAAATATAAAAAAAGTAAAAGGAAAGTTTGTACAAAGTCCATGCAATAAAAATTTAAGCTTCAGTGGATTGCAAAACTGTTTGCCACCCGTTGGATTTGAGGTCCAAAATAGATCAGTGAGTAAAATGACAATGTTTACAGCAACAGCATCCATTAACTTGACCAACAATTCGAGGGATTTTGCTGAAAAACTGTAGAAAAATGTCCACTCGGAGGGCTTGCATTTTTACTTCCTTGAATCTTAAATTTGGCTTGACAAAGTTGTCTCCAAATAAATGGGACATGTTTGGTTAATTTTAATTAAAGACATGGATCTAAAATTTGAGATGGCTTATACTAATATGGAAGCCAAAAATGGTAAAGTGATAAATTATTAATTTACAAGAGCTGAATCAGTTCCCTCCCCTTATGAATTACATCTAGAATAAAACATATGATAGGTTGAGTGAAACAAGTGAAATTTCCTACTGATGCGTATGCAACAAAAAGATGACATGCAGTCTAAATTATGCTCAAGGATTAATTTCTCTCACTTTGTAGCAATTATAAAGGGTATTAATTTGCCAAGCAAGAGAGATACAGTGGTAATCAATAATGTATTTAATTTAATTTTTAATATTTTAGTGAAAATAAGACTCTGTGGAAGTTCCTAGCATGTACTACTGGATAATTGAGCGATAATTTTTTTTTTTCTTTGAACACGAGAATTCCTGGAGGCACTTGGGAATTCTTTGTGGAAAAAAGTTCCACTTTAACCTAGACTTTCGAATTAATCTAACGATTTAAAACTTCAGCATCCGCTGTGTTGGTTAAGGGGGTAGAAGAAGTACAACTCATTTCAAATGACACTGGAACATTTCCTGGGCTATTGAACCTGATTACTGTGACAAGAAAAAATATTTTCTGGTCAATACCGAGGAGTTATGAGTTATAATGCTTCCATCAAAACATGATTCTAAGTAGTTTTAATACAGGTGGAATTTGAAGATATTCAGGAGAAAATAACACATTGAAATGGAATTTGATTATTAAACTCTTTGATAAATTCTGATGGTGCACTCAAAAAAGTGATTACAGTATACAATGAAGAGTTGTAACAAACAAGCAATGGTCAAATGGCACAACAAATATATTAAATCCAATGTTCATTTTGAAACAGGGTAACTGTAAATTTTTGATGACATTATCTTATCTTATTAGTTAATAGCAAACGCATCCTTTCCAAAAACTATTCCAAGTTTTTCCAAAAATAATACAGCCTCATTTGTAGTAATAATTTCAAGAGCATCTTACTTTCAATTTCTAAAGAAATTTCCAGTCATAAAAAATTTCAGCAAATAACACTTGCAATTTACCATAAATTCATTTTCTCACTTTTTACGTCACAAGATATCACCATACAAGATGGACCTGAAGAATTTTGGAATTCACGTTTTCTTGTTAAACTTTAAACTTGAGAAAAAGGATTGAACGAATTCATGTAAATTTTCACCTTTACTTGGTATGCTTTCGCAACCAGGTTGCCAGTTTACTTCAAGAAACCTGTTAAGGATGTCAGCACCTTAATAAAATAAGCTTTTGAAGAGAAACAATTGACTCAATCTTGAGAGAAGCATAGATTAGCCAGTCTTTGGAAAAGCTCTGAAGACTTAAATTTAACATCAAATTTTGTGACCCCTACTTGGTGGTCAAAAAGTTATGGAAAGCTGTGCAAAATAGCTAAAGCAAATTGTCCTGATGTACAAAAATAAAGGAGTTAAAACAAAACTTAGAAAAAAAAAATTTAAACAACATCGACTACGTACTTATTAAATGAATGAAGTCAGAACAATTTGAAATTTTCATCTTGCAAATAAAATATAAATGTGTATCCACATGTATTCAGTATTAATTCATGATTATATCTTTCACTACGATGCCTTGTACTTTTCAAGTATTAATTTATCTTTATGACATTAAATCAAGAGCCTGTGGTGAGTGAAGGAGGTATGAAGCACTTTTTGGTGCAAATTTTTCGCTAAAATGAGTTAAGTTCAACACTACATGTCACCCAATTATTAAAAAATGTAGCCTCTTTCATTCACCGAAGGCCTCTATTGAACTACCTAAGTTTCAACTTAAGAGGCAAAAAGGATCTTATTTCTTAGTTTTTAGTTTTAAAAAAATCCAATTTTGGTTAAGTAACATTGATTTTGGCAGCTTTTAATCATTAGCAAAACAGTATAACTTGATAAAACGAGGAACAATGGTTCTTTTTCAATATTTGCTCCTGACTCAATATTTTCAAAGACATTTGTCATCAAACTTCTACTCACTTTTTCTGATAGAAAAAACTATGGAGGGACATTCAGGGAAAGATACATGTGATGATACTAAAACAACTGTTGTTATAGAAGGACCGAAACCGAAACCAGTAAAACGTAGTGCAGTAACAGCTGTGTCATAGACCAAACATATCTTTCCAAGTATCCTTTCTTTGTTTAAGATTAAAGAGTAATTAAATGACTTGGGATGCAGTTAAAGGTTTACAAAAGCATTTTATTCAGTTAAATTTTCGGAACATATAATGAACTCTTTTATGCAAGATAACTCTGTCTGCTACACAAATCCTGTAAGGACGGGCACATTTTTTAGCATAAATCCAGCCAAAAGTGTTGTCTCACTGTTTTTATGGAATTGCAACATTACCATGTGATCTTTTATTTAGACCAAACGTAGAGATATACTGGATGTTCGGCACCTTTAAAGCTCTACTCTCTGTTCATGATATGAATATTGGAAATTGCCTAATTTCTCGGAATACAGCTGAGCTAAAAAGTACAAAAATCAACTCTGGACAGCAAAATAGAGGCAGAAAAGAGCAGCATCATTAAGTAGCCTATGATTAAGAGGACAATCTGTTGCTGAAAAATTAGGGAAAATGACCACTTCACAGATTAAACGATTAGGGGGGGACATATACACTCAAAACCACGGATTAAAGAGACCGATGATTAAGATAATATTATTAATCTGTAAGTACAAACTTAAC